CCGTCACAGATCCAGACGGAGACTATTTAACTCTATATGCCCTCGTACCGCCGCGTTACCCGACTTTTTGTCGGAAATCCCATTCATCAAGCTGGCGGTCGGTACGTTCCATAGACCTGTGTTCTTCTTGCTCGCACGCAGCATCTAATGACAAACCGTAAACCATATGCGACAAACAACCTTGTATACATCCGGACTTGACTCCCATACCGTCATCTCACGACACTCTTTTACGCTGTATATTTTCGCCTCCCTACTTAGGCGCACTTTATCAGGAAAAAGCATGCCTTTTGTCAGCACCGTTGGTCTAGAATCATCCCACATTGCTGTCCAAATTTTATCAAAATTCTTTGTGAGAGCATCCACATCCGGCATACTTGGCAAGTTATCAAGGTAAGGAATCTTCCTTGAATGAAACGACACTTGGGACTCGTACACTCTTGGTCTAACGAGGGGTGGAGCATACTCTCTCGTCAAATCGGGTCTTTCATTCTCTTCCTCCTCATCACCATCCTCACGAGGGAAGGGTGTGTCGTCTCCGGAATCATCGGCATTGTTGTCATATTCAATGTTCTCTTCCTCACTTTGTGCATCTGCCAGATCCCGATTTAATATGTCGTCTTCAGGCAATTTAGTGAGGACAAGTGGTTCAACTTGCTCGTTTTCACTGCAGAAACATCAAAATAATAAGCTACTGAAATTAATAAATACTTTCCATATAGCTGTATCACTTCACTTACAAGTCGTAACATGTTGACATTCCTTGATGGACATTATCATGTTGGTGATGATTCCTGGATGGACCACCATGATCCAACACACCAGAACTATGCATATTTCAACTAGGTGTGGGTTCATAACTTGTAAAAGTCATATCTGGCCGGTACCCTCTGTGAAATATATGAGTGTTAATACAAATTCAATACAACAAAAATATACATCGTAACACTAAGAAAAATTAAAGTTTACCACTCGTCTTGTAGATTATGTAAAGAAGGAGAGAAATTATTTTCTCGCTCCTCATTCGCCTGTGGTGATAAGTTTAAATCAGGGCAAACTCTTTCATCCGGAACCTGTCCGGCAAAAACTGCTCCAGAATAACCTCCCGATGACCGAGGGTTATCCATACTATGCGCAACCTCATTATTGCGAACGTATTCGACCTTGACGTACATTTCCAATTTTTTTATCACAAGAAATTCTCGGTATTCATCCAAAATCCTCAAAAAATCCCTCAAAGTTTCATCATCGTCGATGTTAAACTCAGCGTAACAAGCAATCCCTTGCGGAGTGACGGAATACAGATATCTTTCGGTTACTTTAAGGTTCACCGAACGTTTCCTCACACTCATTTTATTACATAACAATGATGCCAATCTATCGTACTCCATTGTAAGTGGCAACTTAACATGACACTGTGGAGATAAACTATAGCTCATAGAGTTATTCGCCACCACAACCTTACCTCCCAATATAATGAAACCTTACTTTTCGCTCTTCAGACATTATGAAAAAATACTTGAGAATATAACAAGAAGAAAAATTTGAACGAGTGTCAGGAATATTTTTGAATGGATTTTTGTAAAATCCTAACGTCTTTAAATAAGGCAATGCCTAGCTGGGTGGGCTGATTTGTTTTAGGTATAACGCTATTTTAAAGAGCGTTATACCCATTTGAATTATTGTTATATCAGTTAAACGTAGGAGACTTATTGGTGGGCCCACAAAATAGGTATAGCGCGATTGAAAAGAGCGTTATATATATATACTTTAACGGCCAAAACTCCGTTTAAACATAGCGTTCTTTAAAAGAGTGCTATATATAAAAATATTAATCTTTTTTTTAAACACACATTTTCGTCATACTTGTACACAAGAACCACAAATGGGTTCTGGGCTTGCATTGGACTATCAATTACCAACATCAACTTTAGGTGTATCTGCTTCAAGAATTATTGTACTGTCTCTGCTCTATTCTGACACACTGGCAAAGTGTCAATTAGAATTTCCCTTTCACAAACTCTTCCCCCACCACTCCAACCCAGGCCCCCTACCCCTCGGAAATATTGAATCTAATAACGTGTTTGGCCCGTAAAAATCAGTTTCTTTTGAAAAATGGTTTTTCTCAAAAGTGATTTTCTCAAAATTATTTTTGGTGAGAAACAGTTTGTGTTTGACTAATTAATTTAAAAAGTACTTCTGAACAATAATTAGTGTTTGACCAAGTTTTGAAAAACTGTTTCTAAGTATATATTTCTCAAATGTACTTTTCAAAAAAGTAATTTTGAGAGATTATTTTTTTCGGTTTTTTCAAAATTAATTCTGCTTCTCCTCAAAAGCACTTTTTTTTTTATTTTTTAAAAGTTTGGCCAAATACTTTAATTTTAAAAAAAATCACTTTTGAACAAAAAAAATAATAATTTTGAAACTTGCCCAAACAGGCTATATAAAAGTACTATAGTCTATAGTAATACTAGCATATGTTTTTTGTAAAAAATGTGTGTACCCATAGCAAGTTGGTTTGGTCTAACTTTTTCATACACCGAGAATAAATGGGCGATGGTCAGTACAATACACAAAATATTTCGCGTTCACCCGAAATAATGTATGCACCTTACCTGATGCAATATATAAAGTGTTCCCATAGACACTTCCACTAGAGAATGAAATACAAATAATGAAATTCGTCCACATTAATGAAATGAAATCTAGGCCAAATACATAGACTTTATGCGTTTAAAGTTCTCGCGTACTAATCTTTTTATGGATTACTATAAAAAAGTTTAAAAGACACATTATAAGTGTACATAAAGTGTTCAAATTGAATTTATAGATTGTTTGGTCAAGCTGAAAAAAAAGCAGCTTATGTTAGAGATTTTTTTTCTTTTTTCAAAAGTACTTTTTGCGAGAAATAATTTATGTTTGACTAATTCATTTGAAAAGCACCTCTGAGCAACAATTAGTGTTTGGTCAAATTTTTTAAAAAAATTTCTAGGTTTATTTCTCTCAAAAGTATTTTTCAAAAAGTGATTTTTGAGGAGAAACTATTTTTTTTATGTTTCTCCAAAACTATTTCTGCTTCTCCTCAAAATCATTTTTTTTTCTTCCAAAAGCTTGGCCAAACACTTCAACTTTGAAAAAAAAATATATTTTTTGCTTCTAGGATTGGAGAAAATTGACCAAACAGGCTATTAACTAAGTTAAAGTGCCAAAATAAAATTTCTTGTTATGTTTGAGGGGCTGCCTATGTATTTACAACACAACACATTATACCCGTTGTAATCCCATATTATGGCATATGGGGAGGAAAAAATTTATGCGGACCTTGTCCCTATCTTGTGGAAGTAAAAAAGTTATTTTCGAAAGACACTCGACTCAAGAAAAATGATTTTCAGCAGGTTTAAATAGTAGAACAATAATGAAGAGTACATGTTGAGGACTGTCTATGAATTTGGCCATATATAATACAGAACCATTACAATTCCGTTATAAGGATTGAGCATCTTTATCCTCAATTTCAAACAAGAACAACTCAGCACACTATTGTCCTAACTGGAAAAAGAAGAAAAATGTGTAACAGTTACAGTAGACTTAAAACAGTTTCATTGACTCATGACTCCTCATTTCTTATGACACTTCCCTTGAGTTTTTACTACTTTTGTCAGCTACCACTCATAGGTGGAATGGTTAAATTTCTTTTGTCTCGAATTTGAATTGAATTTTTTTGAAAGAATCTCTTAAGATGCAAAGTTTTACCCTGTAATTGACTTATCTAGCACGAATTCAAATTAATAGAATCATTGGATTTCAATATTAAAAAGAGTTTTAAATAACGGTAAAGTTATCTCCGTGTAACTTATAGACAGTGGCGAAGTCAGAAATTTCTCCAAAGATGTTTAAATTTGAAAGAAGTAAAAAAAATCTTCTACGAAGGATGTTCAATATATGTTATTACTTTTATTACTTACCTATATATATAATGTAATTTTCCGACAAAGAGTGGTCAATTTCTATTACTAGAGTGTAACTTCGCACCTGGTATAAGTTACGTGTTTGAGACATAAAATCAACTACTGATGCTTGTATTAAGATAAGTTGCCTACGTCACAATCTCTTGGGGTATGATTTTCCTCCTAACCATGAATCCTGAGTAACATAGTATGTTTCGTGCACCGAACTAACTTTTTTTTGTGGACTTTCAAAATGGGATGATTGTAAAATATACTACCCTTCCTTGAGTTGATGCCTCTGTTAGTATTACTCACAGATTTCTCTTTTAACCTTTTTTAAGAAATTCCTCACACACTTTCCCTCTTTTTCTCTATACAGAGCAAAAAACACAACAGACATAAAACACACACACACACACATACAAAAACACCTGGCCCCGTGAAAATCAGTTACATAATCAACGTTGTACCCATTCCCCACCCCTCCCCACCCTCCTCACAGTCTAGCTCCATGTTTGTCCTTTGAAAATCCATTTTTTTTTCTCTGCAACCTTAATCTACTCCAAATTTTGTTTTTCTGCAACTTAGTACTACACTAACAATTAGTCACTTGTTTCTTTTATACTCTTAAATATTGTTTGCAGCTCAGCTACTCTAGCTTAGTCCCAGGTTTTCTGTGTCCCTTTGTTTTTTAGTGTTTGACAGTTTGTTTGTTTTCTTCTTCTACACACACACACTGTTTTCTTCATTTCTGACATGGGTTATTCTTAGTTGGTACATTTTATTTTCTAAATTTCAGGGCTTTCCAGAATTTTTGGTTATTTTCCATTTTCAAGATTCCTCAAATGGTAAAACTAGCTCCAAATACAAATAGTCACATTTCTTGAGCATTTCAAGACTCAATCTTTTTGTCTCTAAAGCCCCTTTTTCTTCGTTAATGGCTTCTTGATTGTTGCTTTGGAGGGCTAAGGGAAAATAAAAAGAACAGAAATTGAAGAAAGGGTGTTTTCTTATATATAAAAAAACCCCAAAATGTCAATTTTGAGCTTTCTTGTGCATTTCAAGACTCAATTTTTTTTTGTCTCTAAAGCCCCTTTTTCTTCATTAATGGCTTCTTGATTGTTGTTTTAGAGGGCAAAGGAAGAAAAAACAGAATAGAGAAATTGAAGAAAGAGTGTTTTCTTAAATTAAAAAACCCAAAAAGGCAATTTTGAGCTTTATTGTGCGTTTCAAGACTCAATCTTTTTGTCTCTAAAGCCCCATTTTCTTCATTAATGGCTTCTTGCTTATTCATCATTTGGTTGTTTTAGAGAGAAAAAATAAGAAGTTGAAGAAAGGGTGGTTTCTTGAAGGAAAAAAAAAACCAAAAATGGCACTTTTGAGCTTGTTAACAACAATGTTTGTAGTGTTGGTATTATCAAGATTTCAACTTGGGAATTTCCAGTTAGTTTTTAATGATCAGAATGTAGTGGAAGCAATTAGGAAAGAGCTATTAATACCAGGGTGGGGTGTGAACACAACTGATTTTTGCTCTTGGGCTGGCATTAGTTGCAGCTCAAACAATTCAATGGTAGAAAGACTTGATCTTTCTGGTTTTAGATTACAAGGTAATGTGACTCTAATATCTGAGCTCAAAGCACTTAAATGGCTAGACCTTTCTCATAATAATTTCCAAGGTTCAATTCCACTATCATTTGGGAATTTGTCTATGCTTCAGTATCTTGATTTGTCTTTTAATAAGTTTGGAAACTCAATTCCCAGTGAATTAGGTAAGCTTAAAAACCTTAAGGCATTGAACCTTTCAAACAATTGGCTTACTGGAGTTGTACCAAATGAGCTTAAGGGGTTGGAAAATTTGCAAGATTTTCAAATTTCTACCAACAGTTTATATGGCACTATTCCATTTTGGGTTGGTAATTTGACCAATCTTAAGGTTCTTGCAGCTTATGAGAATGAGTTTAGTGGTGATATTCCATTTAACTTAGGCTTAAACTCTGAGCTTTCTTTGTTGAACTTGCATTCAAATCAGCTTCAAGGTACTATTCCTGAGAGCATTTGTGCTAATGGGAATCTTAAATTCCTGGTTTTGACTCAGAATAAGTTGAATGGAACTATTCCTGAGTCTATTGGGAATTGTAAAGGACTTTCAAGTATTAGGATTGGGAATAACAATTTGATCGGTGGCGTCCCTAAAGCAGTTGGGAATATCAGTAGTCTTACTTATTTTGAAGCAGATAGTAACAGTTTATCTGGTGAAATTGTGGCAGAGTTTGCCAAGTGCTCTAATCTCACTCTGCTTAATTTAGCTTCTAATGAGTTTTCCGGAACTATTCCTCCTGAGTTTGGTGAGCTCAACAATCTTCAGGAACTGATTGTTTCTGGTAATAACCTCTATGGTGAGATTCCAACTTCAGTTCTTAAGTGCAAGAATCTCAATAAGCTTGACTTGAGCAACAACAAGTTCAACGGCACGATACCGGCGGATATATGCAATACCTCAAGATTGCAATATTTGCTGTTGGGGGAGAACTCAATTAGAGGGGAGATACCTCATGAGATAGGGAACTGTGTAAAATTGCTTGAGTTGCAAATGGGGAATAATGAACTTATTGGAAGTATCCCTTCTGAGATTGGTCATATGAAGAACTTGCAGATTTCACTGAATTTGAGTCATAATCATCTCCATGGTCAATTGCCTCAGGATTTAGGAAAACTTGACAAGTTGGTTTCTTTGGATGTCTCTGATAATCAGCTATCTGGGAATATTCCGTCGGCGTTGAAAGGCATGCAGAGTTTGATAGAGGTTAATTTTTCAAGCAATCGATTCACTGGACCAATACCTACTTTTGCACCATTTCAGAAAAGTCCTAATTCAAGCTTTCTTGGAAACAGAGGGCTCTGTGGTGATCCCTTGAGTGGTGGTTGTGGAGATCTAAATGGTTATAACCACCGCATTTACGGTCACAAGGTTTCTTACCGAATTGTTTTGGCTGTTATTGGTTCTGGTTTGGCAGTTTTTGTATCTGTTACAGTGGTTGTTTTGCTGTTCATGATGAGGGAGAATCAAGAGAAAGCAGCTGCCAAGGAAGCTGGAATTGCCATTGAGGAAACTTCTAGCAAACCAGTGATACTAGCTGGAAATGTCTTTGTTGACAATCTAAAGCAAGCGATTGATTTTGATGCAGTTGTAAAAGCAGTCATGAAAGACTCTAATAAGACTAGTGTTGGTACCTTCAGCACTGTCTATAGAGCAGACATGCCTTCCGGGATGATTTTGTCGGTTAAGAAACTAAAGTCTATGGACAGAACTATAATTCATCACCAGAGTAAGATGATCAGAGAGCTCGAAAAGCTTAGTAAGCTCGTTCATGATAATTTAGCTAGGCCTGTCGGGTTTGGAATCTATGAAGACGTCGTCCTTCTGTTGCATCAATATTATGCCAACGGGACGTTGGCTCAATATCTTCATACCTCTAGCCAGGAACCTGAATATAAACCGGACTGGCCAACAAGACTTGCCATTGCCGTTGGAGTTGCAGAAGGATTGGCATTCCTCCATCATGTGGCCATCATCCATCTTGACATTTCTTCGGGGAACGTGCTTCTCGATTCTAATTTCAGGCCTTTGGTTAGTGAAGTGGAAATATCTAGGCTTCTAGATCCATCTAGAGGGACTGCAAGTATCAGTGCTGTTGCCGGCTCATTTGGATATATTCCCCCAGGTATTCTATTATTCAAACACATACTTATCGTTCTCCTTTTTTTCGTTTATAGAGATTGTATCTTTGGTATTGACTAGTTTTCTCTCTCTGAACAGAGTATGCATATACAATGCAAGTAACAGCTCCTGGAAACGTTTATAGTTATGGGGTTGTTTTGCTCGAGATCCTTACCACCCGATTACCTGTTGATGAAGATTTTGGTGAAGGAATAGATTTGGTTAAATGGGTACATGGTGCACCTGCGAGGGGGGAAACACCGGAGCAGATACTCGATGCAAGGCTCAGCACCATTTCCTTTTCTTGGAGAAAGGAAATGTTAGCAGCGTTAAAGATTGCCTTGCTGTGCACTGACGTGACACCAGCAAAACGACCAAAGATGAAGAAGGTGGTAGAAATGCTGCAAGAAATCACAGAAAGCTAAATGAAGTTTGCATCATCAATGTATGTCTTGATTTCGTTCCTTCATATGAATGCTTCCGTGAAAATGCTAGTGTATGACATACTTAGTCGAGGGGACAAAATGGTCGAACTCTATATACTGGTCGCTGATAGCTGGTTTACTGATGGTCGTACTGTTTTCTACTGGGGCTTCAATCATATGTTCAAGAGTTCTTTTTCTCCAAAACATGTAAATGTTGGTGAAACAGATCGATATCTCACTAGGATGATATGTTTGCAAATAGCATTTAGCTTTCCTTTTCCTATCCTCTCTTCCAAATTTAGTATAGATTCAATCATAGTTAAAGCGTCTATTCAACATGCGACTCACTTTCTATTTTGTTCCTTTAATATTAAGAGACAAGGTGTGTTGCTCTGATGGTAAACGCCCTCCACTTCTAATCAAGAGGTTGTGAGTTTGAGTCACCCCAAGAGCAAGGTGGGAGTTCTTGGAAGGAAGGATGCCGAGGGTCTATTGGAAACAGCCTCTCTACCCCAGGGTAGGGGTAATGTCTGCGTACACACTACCATCCCCAGACCCCACTAGTGAGATTATACTGGTTTGTTGTTGTTGTTGTTCTTGTAATATTAAGAGATAAGTAACTCACCATATAAGGCCTTTAATTGCTTTTGTTTCTAGCTGATATGTTACGCCTACGAGGACACTAGTTTGTTCTTCATCTCCTAGCAGAAACAAAAAACACTAGTTGATTTCTTCTTATCTGCCTAATCCTTGGCTGACAGAATTATCCGGTACCTGTGTTGGTGGGAGGTAGTAGGTACTCGGTGGAATAGTTGAGGTGCAGGCAAACGGGCCCTTACACCACGTTATAAAAGAAAGAACGCTAGTTTGTTCTTTATTTTAGCAAAACATCTGTTTAGTGCAAGTTTAACTTATTTTCACTATCTACTATTTTATTTTGGCACGAGGATGATATGAGTTAGAGCTTAGAGAAAGAAGTGAGGATTCATATCGCCGACCCCAACTTTGTTTACTGAGACGTAGTTGTTGTTTGTTGTTTGATGTATCTGTTGGTTCAAGTTCTAGGATAAGGCCAAAATACTGCCACTTCCCAATCCAAGAAGCTAGATTTGGCCTTTGTGGGCAAAGAGTTTGCGCAAGTAATCTAGCAGGTAAGAGCCCGACGCATGATGTGTGAGTTATACGCATGTCACGGGTTCGAACTCTGGCCCACACAAAAGCTTGGTATTTAAATGGAGAAGGATAGAGGAGCGGACCCATTATTCACCAAGTTTCGAAATGGGTTACCAAAAGAAAACAAGTCATTTTTCTAGCCCTTCTTCAATGTGTACTTAGAACATAATGTGCACAGAATACAACAGTGTACAAACCATGATAAGTTGATATGATTTAGTACAAACGCTGGTTACGAGTAAGTGATTTACATATATGGAAGTTAAAGTTCCCATTAAGCAGATGATGACAAGTTGAGAACTCCAATTTCCTTAGCACGGCTAATATTATCATCCAATATATTCTTCATATCTTTTTTATACACAAAACCCTTATCCATAAGCTTCTTTGATCCCCACTTCACTGCTCTCTTTGGATCATCCAAATACCTGTTTAATGGGAAAATATGAAATAATTTATCAAATAATCACTAGTAGTAGAAATGATCCTTCAAATTATATAAAACTGAGCACTTTAGTCTACTTTTACAAACTTATATACACACCAATAGTGTAAAGAAAGTTTACACTATCAGTGTAGTTTCCGACTATAGCAACAAGGCCTATACTGCCGGAGACAAGCTAGCTAGACTCTTACATAATTGAGTATATAAAGAGGAATCGTCTTATTGCTTGGCAAAAGCTTGGGAAGAATAATACCGACACCGCTCACTCATACTTAGAGAAGGCACCATACAAGATGAAGAAGTTAGCGGATAGGAAGAGGCCCTGGATCTTAGTCCAGCCTACTACGAGGATCTCGTATCCAGCAACCTAACCTATACAAAGGGCGTCGAAGGCTGTTGACTAGGTTGGAGCTATAAAGTTTGCTATGTTAAAGTAGGTTACCATTCCATGTTCGCTATATAAAAGTTAACTTGTCACTGACTTTTAACTGACCTGATAGTGTAAAAACTTTTTACATTATGAATGCATATTAGTTAAACTCTTGTTCTACTCTATAGCCTTCAAATACCAAGCATGCACAAAGAATATTCAAGTCTTCTTTACATGTCGGTAGCATTAGTACTAGTCTCATATTTTCATACCTTATTATCCGTAGATTTCTTCTACTATATGTCGGTTCTTTCGCCTCGATTATTCTATCACTTTGTCACCTTATCACATTATCTCGTTATTGTTACTACTTGTTGTGTTTGCTTCTTTTTCTCTTTTACCTTGAGTCAGGGGTCTATCGGAAACAACCTCTCTACCTTCTCAAGGTAAGGGTAAGGCCTGCGTACACTCTTTCCCCAGACCCCACATTGTGGGATTACACTAGGTTTGTTGTTGTTGCACAAATAAAATTCAAGAACTACAACAACAACAAACCCAGTGAAATCCCACAAGTGGAGTATGGGGAGGGTAAAGTATACGCAGACCTTACCCCTACCTTATGACGATAGAGAAGCTGGTTCCGAAAGACGCTCGGCTCAAGAGAAGTGAAAATGAAGCAATAAACAGACAGTAGCAACAATAAAACTACTACATCAAATGAAAGAAAGTTCAAATGAAAGAAAAGAGTTCTAATTACCTTTGGTTGATATGAAACTCTGGGAATTTTTCTTTGTAATAACTGGCAATTTCTGCAGAAGAAACAAAGGAGCTAGCACACAAGAAACGACCATTTATAGATGCAGTTTCCATACCAAAAATATGAGCTTCACAAACATCTTCAATGTGTACAATTGGAACTTTTCCATCAACTTCTTCTATGAACTTGAGTTGTTGGTAAGAAATTTCATTACCAGTTACAGCTGATAATATAGCAGCCATACTTGTTGAAATATTTGACAAGAGTGTATCTCCACCCACAAGACCACAACCTAAGCTCACAACCTCAAAACCATTTTTGCCAAAGTTCAAGATTTCTTTCTCAGCCATTGTCTTTGCTTCCACATACTCCTATACCATTCAAAAAGAAAATGTTATTTTCACGTGTGAGTCTTGATTCTTTTTCATGGGCCAAACACGTATTTTTTTTACTTTTGGATGGCAGTGAGATTTGAACTCATGACTTCTTACCTGCTATGATATTATTGTTCAAGTGTATGACCATCTCATTTAAAAGTTTAACTCTTAAAAAGAGTACGCTTTTAATTACCTAATTATATTATCTCAAAAGTTAGCCACGCAAGGGTATACCCTTGTGTTGAATGAAGTGAGTGCGATTCAATTCCTAAGCAGAGATAAAAAAATTAGGTGATTTCTTTTCATATTGTCTAAATTTTGATGGGCAAAGTTACTTGATACCTATGCCGATGGGAGTTAGTAGGTGCACTGCAAAATAGTCTAGGTACACGCAAACTAACTAGAAAAGCAATCACACGGAAGTTGGCTAATTTTCGTTACGTTACCCACAACTTCTGTGTGATTACTTTCTGTCAATCAAAGGCACCTTAGTGTGTGTGTGTATATATATATATATATATATATATATATATATATATATATACATGTTGCTCCCTTCGATTCATAATAAGTGAGTTTTAAGGATTACCACTTAATAATATTAATTAAAAGTGTAATTTGATTAAATTATTCTTTATCTTTCTTCAACATTAAATAAGAAGTAGCGAAAGTCTTTTTAGAAATTTGTTCAAATTATTTATTAGACAAGGATAACTTTGGGGAGAAAAAACTTAAGACCTTGGTGCTTAAAAGATCAAGTCATTTAAAATTAAATTTATAAAGAAAAATTAAAAAATCACTTATTGTTGATCGAAAAGAGTATCATCTACTTTTCTTATTTTTGTTTAATTTTGGGTGGATTGGAGTATTAAATTCATTGTTGAATTTTTAAAATTTGGGTGGATGGGTGTATTAGATTCATTATTGAATCTCACTAAATCCTTCATCCATCACCAAACCAAATAAGACAAACAAAACAAAACAAAATAGAAGAACATATCTATCGTGCTATAGAACTTCGGTATTATAACAAAATTATGAGCCGCTATTTAGGTTAATTTTAAAAAAAAATATAAATCTAGGCAAACGAGACGGGACAATGCAGGTTAAAACTTTGAAGAGTAAGCTTCACCCGCCCCACCCTATCTCGTTTGCCATTTTTAATAATTTTATGGACAGTCTAGTGTACAGAGTATCTCGCGTTCACGTAGGGTCCGAGAAAGAGTCGCACCACCCTAAGGAATGTGACGTAGACAGCCTATTATAATGCAAACATTAGTGGTTGTTTTCACGGCTCGAACTCGTGACCTAACATACCGTTGCTCCAAAACTCCTTTTATATAGTAAACAAAACTTGTTCATTTTTTAAACATGTTTTTTTAGTGTTATCTTTGATTGCAATTGAAAAGAAAGATAATGAGAAAGAAATATTTACCCTAACATAATCATCACTAAAAGCAAAGTGGATATTGAGAGGTGTCCAACATGTTTCATCCATCAATTCCTTGAAACCATTGCTATCATCCTTCAATGGTGAAGCAGAAAGCACAGTTCCTGTATAAATAAGCCTTCTCACTGTCCCACTCTTTATACAAGCCTTTCCAATATTCTTCACTGAAGCAACTGTTGCTTCTACCTTATTCTTATACTGTTACATTCAAATCCACAAAAATAAATAACTCACTCAAATTCAAGATTTCACTACATATGTATAAAAAATAATATTAAACTATATATACAATATAAATTTTTGGTTAGGGATGTTAAGTTGATCACCCTTCGTCGAATATAGCTCCGACGAGCACTAAGGGTGGAGCCTAACAATCAATGTAATAGGTGAGAACCATAGGGGATCGGGTACTCGGCAAGCTTAACCTAACTCCAGTGGCCACATACAATAAAGGATGGTCGGTTGAACACCCTTCATCGAAAAATGATACCCCCTTTGTTCCAATTTATGTGAACATATTTGATCGGGTACGGAATTTAAGAAAAAATGAAAGACTTTTGAAATTTGTGATCCTAAACATGTCAAAAAGGGTTCCAGAGTATTTGTGTGTTATAAAAGCTTCTCATTAAGGGTAGAATTGGAAATTTAAGCTAAATTATTTCCAAATTTAGAAAGGGGTCATTCTTTTTGGAACGGACCAAAAAAGGAAATAGGTTCACATAAACTGGAACGGAGGAAGTGTGACATATGTAAAAAAAAACTATGTTGCATATATAAATAAAAAATTCCTTCTTATACATATATATTAGTTCTTGAACATCTTTAGCGAAATTCCTGACTTCACCACAGCCTAACTCTATTGTTTCAAAAAAAATATAAAACGTTTATGTGCTAGTGAACGGTAACAAGTATGAAGTAAAATAGTTGAGGTGCATGTAAATTGATTCGAACACCACTAATAGAATAGAAAATAAAAATACATATATACACTGATGGAAAGTAATAAGAACTTGGTAAAGTTATCGGGAAATCGTACAAGTTGACTCGAACAACACCATTATCAAAAAGAAAATGAAATGGGTACCTGAAATCCCTCAGAGTGTAACAAGGGAGTGGCAACATGGAAAACAAATTCACAGCCTTGAATTGCTTGCTCAAACTCTTCTGGTCTATAGACATCAGCTTGAAATAACTTCAATCTTTCCTCTGCATTGGGGAAGCTCTTTAACAAACCTACTTTTGATTTATCCTCTGCAAAATCATCAAAATTTTGTTATTCTTTTTTTCAATTTCAAGATTAACCATGTTTAATGTAGATTCGCGCCTAATAGGCACGTTAAAGGGGAGAAACTTTTCTTGCTAGAATTTTTTCCATCAGCAAGAATCGTACTCGATACAACAACGACAACAACATATCTAGTGTGAACCTATAGGTGGGGTGGGGGGAGGAGAAATTTTTCCATTCGCAAGAATCAAACTCGATACAACAACAATAACAACACTCATTGTGTTCCCACGGGTGTAGTCTGGGGAGGATAGGGTGTACGCATACCTTACCCCTACCTTGTGTGAGGTAGAGAGACTATTTTCGATAAACCGAGTTCAATTCAACAACAACAACAACAACAACATATCCCGTGTGAACCCATAGGTGGGGTCGGGGAGGAGAAAATTTTCCATTCGCAAGAATCGAACTCGATACAATAAGAACAACAACAACATACTCATTGTATTTTCACAGGTGGAGGCTGGGAAGGTTGGGTGTACACGTACCGTGCCTCTACCTTGTGTGAGATAGAGAAGTTGTTTCCGATAGACCCTCGGCTTTGGAATCAAACTCGAGGCCTCTGGTTAAAATTCCAGGATCTCGTCCATTCCACCAAGAGTATAATTCAGGGATAAAAATGCAAAATGAAGATTACATACCCAAGTTTCTGAGTGTGGCATAAACTGTGTACCCTTTTGCCAAAAGTTTCTTCACCAGAAAAGAAGCAATATATCCTGCACCACCTGTAACACAAACCAGCGTTGAATTTCTATTATTGTTCTCCTCCATTTCTAGATTCTTATTCTGCTTTCTTTCTTTTTTTGGCAAGACCAAATTTATAGCCACGTGTTTGGTTTCATTGCATAATTATCACTTTGTACAACTTAAAGCCAAATGGCTTTTGTTTGGTCATTTATATGTTGCATTTAATGACAGTGTAACAAAATTTTGTATTATGAGTATATTTTAACATGTTGTATAATTTTTTAATCTCATTTTTTACGAAGAGTTTAAGTTCTATGTATTATGTATTAACGGTGTAAAATTATTTACAAAACCAGGTAATTTTAAAGGTACCCCTAGGTAATTTGCATTAATAACATTGATTGATAACCTAAAATAAATGATAGTAACTTGCTATGATAAACTACATTGTACAGAAAGTGTAAACAATTAAATATAAATAAATATATATATATATATATATATTTCATGAATGGTTACTTGTTTTAAATAAATTGATAGTGTAAATAATGTGAATGAGTTCCCAACAAAGGTTGTGGTGGAGTGGTAAGTACTTCTTTATCCTTAATCAGAAGTCTCGGGTTCGAGCCTCTGGGTATAGAGTCGCCTTTGTTAGGGAGTACTTTACCCCCAATGTAGGACTTTTCGGTGCGAATTCTGATTTAATCGGGTCCCGATATGGATATTGGACACCAAATTTAATCGGACCCCAATATGGTATTGGACACCTGAGTGGAAACCAAAAAAGGAACGTGGATGAGTTAAAGTCATTCATTTTAGAAGAAGCCTTTGTTGGAGAAGTACATGTTGTGGTTCTCTTTATTTGTAAAAGAATACTGTTGATAAAATGGTCCAAACTTTTGTTGTTTCTCTCTTTTTCATTTTCTTTATCGGGTCATTGTTATTTTCATGGATATTTAGATTCTTGATTTGAGGTGGTATTAATTTCATGGGTTATTCAACTTTCACTTTACTGTATCAAAATCGCTAAATTATTTTTTGCAAAAGAAAACTCTATTTATATCAAAGACACTTGAAGAAAATAAATGAAGGTAATAGTTTAGTGATTTTTACTGAGATTTAAGTAAAGTTGAGTGACTTATATGTTATACTTAAACAGAGTTAAAGTGACTTTTTCAATGTAGAAAAGAGTTTAATAACTTGAGTGTAATAAAGTAAAGGTAGAAAACTACCTTTTGGTTTTTGCTAAATTCTGGAGAGAAAAAAATGGACAGATATGACAGATTTTAATAGTCAATTTTGGACTATAACCCAATTATGCATTCAATAATGAAAACGATGGAGGGTTTAAGTTGGTCTTTTCATGTATTTCAAACTCTGAATAGAGGTCATATATAAAAGCATACAAGATATATTATTAATTTTAATATAACAATAATTATGCATTTCACATGTTAAACAATGTCTATTCAATGAATAACTAAGAAATTTAGTCCTTTTTTCAATTCTCTATTACCATTTCAAACTCCACTAATATTTTCTTTTCTTTGATTTAAATTTTCATTAATTTAAAAAAAAAAAGAAAAAAAAAAAGACAGTCCAGTGCACTAAGCTCGGACCGGACCATCAACCTTATCTGGAAAAGATTGTTTCCACGAAATACTTTCACTCTGTTTTATGTTAAGTGCAGCAGCTATAACATAAAACAGAAGTTTGCAGCTGTGAGGTACTTCAGCAAATCAAGAAAGTAAACACTTACATATATGATCAAACAAAGTAATGCAAAAAAGCCAAGAACTGACATACAATTGCCATAGCAGAAAGCAGCTCAATTGAGCAGAGTTTATCATATATCCCTCACGAGCAAATCCATTATATGAAAAAGGAATACGCGCCAGGAATACACATGGGCGCGCAAACTGAACAAAAGAACTTATTATAACATGTCAATCCTTCTTATAGGGAAAGTGAGATAAATGATTTGGAATTGTCTGAATACAGTATCAGAGCAAATCCTTTGCTCAAACAAAAAAATGGTTCAATTTCAAATGAGTTCTTTTCTAACAGAAACAAAAAACAACATAACTGAACTTCCTCAATCAAGACTTAACAATATAATTCTGTCGGCTGATGGGATTCATGACGATTGGGGGACCAGCAGTGCGAGGCCATGCCTGGAATTTCTTGTCTGTTTCTTTCGACCAGTCATTGTTGGCAACGGTGCTTGGAGTAGTACCTATACAACAAGCGACTGTCAGCACAGCACAGGCAATTTCATGATCAAAGAACTAACAAAAGGAACCAGAACTTGCCTCCAAACAATTTCCCGTCAGAAATAACAGTATCACAAACATATGCAACTGCAAAGGATGCAACAATAGAACCAACAATGTACTTGGTAGACATCTTCGAGCACCTAAAACTGGAAGATAACCTAAAACCACCAAGTAAGAGAACCAATTTTTATCTGTAAAAACATAAAGGCATTCAGTTATATAAATAGCATCTCAAGACAGCTCGTATATGATCTTTCTAAAACCATCATGAGGCTTCGGAAGCAAAGATGTATAATTTAGAGATTATCTCCAGATATAAAAATTAGTATCTCAAGATACAGCATTTCTTTAATCTTTCTGCAACCATCATGTGATTTCCGAGGCAATGAAGTATAACGTACAGATTTTCTCAAGGTACATATGAATAATATTGAGCACTTCTACGTGATTCAGTAGCCCACCGTATGATGTACCATTTAAATCTATAAAGACACGCACATACAGCTACAAACTTCAAACCTTCAAACTGAAACTATTTTATTTGGTCTTACTCTAACAAAATGTTTGTTCAGAAATGCAAGGCAAAGGGTAGTCAGTGTTATCAAAGGCGAAAAGCACAAAAAAGCTCTAAGGTCTATTGGGACTTTAAGTGCAAAGCACAAATAAAGCGTGAGCTAAAATGAAGAAAGCCGCAAATGGAGAAAAACTACAAATATGCATGTGTAGTCCAAGATTAATATCTATAAGCATGAATACCAAATATATGGACAAGGAAATTGAAGGAAATGGAAGAAAATTTACAATAAAGTAAAATATCAATTGTTTAGTGTCGCCTCTTCGGGATTACGCTCGTTGGCAAGGAAAAGTATGCCTTAGACCCTTGATAACAAGGCTCAGCGCACGCTAAGCGAGGCGAAGCGCTCAACATGTTTTGAGCTTCGCTTCAGGGCTTTAGCGCCTTTGATAACACTGAGGGGTAGCGTGAAGGAAAATAAGCTGTTGAATTACATGCCTTAGAAAAAGAATATATATCCTTCGGTTCATGATACTCGGTACAAGTGAAAGGAAAGAAGACATCTATTTCCTCTTTCTACCAGACCTTTGGGATGGGCTGAAAATATTAACACGAGTATGTTGTGTATCTTTCCCATTTTAGTTCCTGAAAGGTAGAGGGACATTGTGTACCGCCTATTAACCCTCTTCTTTCCACTAAAACATATCATAAATCAATTTTAGAATAAAGAACGGAACTCATCACCAACACTAAATTAGTTCTCGCCTGCAAGCCATTAGCAACCAACTGGAGTACCACATGAAAGAGGGGAAAAAGAAAAAAGGATAAAGAAGATAATAAGATAAGAAACATATGCACAGACCAAAGTGTCTTCACATTTTTCCCCAAATACACCAATGATATGCTGCAAGAACTTTCAGGAGTTCATAGCTCTTCATATAGTATTTCAAGATATACCACCATCAACAGAATTCGACCATTCTTTGGGAGGTTCTACATCCTTTTGTTTTTGTTATAAGGTTCATTTTCAATATCAAATCTGAGTGTCTACACATATACACGCGGCACAACTAGATCAACAGTTCCTTCCAAATCAATATTTTAATCCATCTTAAAATTCTGCAAATGCTCCCATAAACCTCTCTATAACAGCTTTGTTTGTTACGATATTTTTTGGTTGTTATAGTGAAGTGCTATTATAGAGGAAGGGCATATATTATAACATAACATAAAAAACGGTTCCGAAAAAACTTGGCTCTTATAGTGGATGACTGTTACATAGAGATGTTGTTATAGAGAGGTTTGACTGTATATGTTCTACAAACAAAATATACTATTCAAGATATGATAGGAAAAAAGGGTGCTACGAATTTTGGCTAATTCGAACATGTAATGGTGAAGCTTCTTTATGAATAACACAAATATCTACACCAAATCACAAAGAGATAAGAAAAAGAAGCAACTAGCTTCTATTAGTACTATTCCATTTCCTCAAATCAAGGAGACAATCACTTCCATAATATTCCGTTCATGAAATCGCTTTGGTATGAAAAAAGGCAATTACCCATTAATCCAATCTTCCCTATACACATCATTTGATGCATTTCTTTTTTATCCACGTGTACATCAATCAATTGATACGGGAACAAAAGGAACGATGACCCATTAATCCTAACTAATCAAATCCCACAGATATCGTTAAAACCAGTATTTTGAAAAGCGAGCGCTTCGTCGCTTTAAGCGAAGCGAGGCGAAGCGAGAAGCTGTCGCTTTTTTCTAACTGAGGCGACCCGACCAGCAGAAGTGATCGCTTCAGCCAAGAAAGCGCGAAGCGACCCAGAAGCGAGAAGCGCTCGCTTCTGTTCAGAGGAGTCATTTTTTAAAAAAAAGTTTGGGTCTTTGTTTTTATTATACAAAACAGACCCAAACGTTATTCTTTCTCCTTCCCAACGTTAGCAACAACATCCAGCTAGGGTTTCAACCTCCAGGTAATTTTTCTTATTTTATTCTTCCCTTCTTTCTTCTCTTTTTCAGTTTTTCTCCTCTTGCGCACAGCTAGGGCAGGCGCTCGTTTTTTTCCCCCCTTTTATTCTTCTTATTTATTAATTTTAATATGTATTTTAGTTTATAAAATTAATTATTATATATATATAAATATGTTATATTTTCAATTTATTTGAATTTTTTAATGTGTATTTCAGTTTATAAAATTAATTATTATATATGTTATATTTTCAGTTTATTTGNATTGAACTTTTTGATTATTTATATTGTGTCTTTGCAAGGTTTACATTATGTTTTTTAAGAATTGTGCTTCACTGTGCGTGCGCTTCGCTTTTGAAGCGAGGCGAGCCCCTGTCGCTTTTTTGCGCAAAAAACACTGGTTAAAACTAATAAAATCAAACAGAGCCCTTCAGGATGCATTAAACTATACCATAAAATCAGAGGCGGATCAAAGATTTGAATTTATGGGTTCGACTTCGGAATTCTACCACATCCCATCTAATTTAGTGGGTTCAAAATCTACTGTTTACACTTAGATTTTAATCTCCTTTATAAGGTTCAAGTTATACTCCTATAACTTGTATCACATTCTAAGCTAAAGCTGCTGGATTCATATGAACCTGTAGCTTATTCATTAGATCCCCCTCTGCATACAATATCCATGCTAAGAATCAAGCTTGGCTACGATACAAACCAAACAAAAGTTGACCCATTAAGCCAAACCCTTCAAATCACACAAATAATTGGTTAAAAATTAATCAATTCAATCATTCAACCGTGGCTTCGATATGAAGAAAACAAGAATAAACCCATTAATCTAAACCGTATAACCGCACGTAAAAATGTTATTTTGTCTCTAATAAGTATTAAATCAAATAACCTAAATGCAAAATTCATCTCAAGCAGTAACAAACATGGTGGCACAAGAGTTTCAATAAATCTACACGTATTAGAGAGAAGAAAAAAAAAAAAAAAA